TAAGAGTACTCTGTAAGAAAAACTAAGTAGAACCTGGGTCTTGTTTAGCCATTAAATAACAACTCTTTCACCTTAAACTCTGTAAATAAATGCTGGAAATGAATCTAAGTAGATCCTATGATGGCATGAGACTTTGTAGATAGAGACATTTTTGCACATATATAACAAAAAGCGAGTAATTATTTGGAATACAATTTTGCCTTTGTTTTCAAACAAGAGACTTTATGATGTAAAAAAGACGGTCACCTATGAAATTGAAAGAATAAGTCAATTGCAGCACTAAGAATTGTTTTCTAACAGTGTTGATGAAAAATCTCAGTAATATTGTCTAATACTGGAGATTAGGTTGGCAGGAAAATACCCAACCCAAACGTATTATACTACTTGCAATCATCACATTTTAAAACTGTGTATGTATATATATATATATATAACTGTTGCTTTGCCAATTTTCAAACAATCTTCTCTCTTTATCAGCAACTGTTTTTTCCCAGTGCTTAGGTGATTCCATCACAAACAATCAGCAAGAGAAACATTAGAATAAGACATCGCTTGTTGCTCCACTCCACTATTTAAGGGAAGGATGATTTTCTTAAATCATCTGAGCTCAATGGTAGATATATAAAATAACTGTGGATAAACTGTATCAGGTTTACCATTTACACCCATCAAGCCGTAGAACCTTCCACTAGCTTTGCAGCAAAATACAAGCTAAGCAACCAGACGAAAGCCATTTTTCCAGCGAGTAAACTGTTTTAAAGTTTCAGGTACAACCAGAAACATAAAGCTACTGCAGTGCTGTTGGTGACCTAAAGATAATATGGTGATATAAAAGGAACCTCAGCAGGCTTCCAAGACAGGCATCCTTTTCACCCAGCTCTGCTCTGTAGAGAGACAGGCCTTCAAAAAACCCAGCATATCACTGGTTTTAAGATAAAATACTACCAATATCCATGTACTTTTATAAAGTTAGAACTAGGATAACATACAAAACAATTTATGCAAAGGAGATGGTTGAGAGGGCAGAAGAAAGCTCCAGCTATTTGGAGACACCAAATGAAATGAGATGCCTTAGCTCCAAGGAATAATGCCAAGGATGGGAGATAAGAGAAACAGTATCAGAGAAATTACTTGCTGAAGCACCAGGCAAAGGACAAATGGGCAAAGGCATTAGAGTAGATAGTGTTGCTGTCCTTATTAGGCAGTGAAAGAGGGTGGGAGATAATACAATGATGGATATGGTATCTGTCGATCCAGCAGAAATAAGGAAATACTGTAAAATACCCAAACTTAACAGTAAATAGAGACAAAGGAGTTTAAGCCACTATTCTGACTTCATAATTTATAACTACAGAAAACTAGTAGTAGAGTGAGAATGAATTTTGAGGAAAATTTTAATTCTTTTGAATGATAGTCTCCACTAGGAACATGAGATACAGAATGGTGAAAATCTATTCAAAAGAGCAGTCACTAAGCATCTGAAAGATCAGTAGGAATAATTTTCAATAAACTTTATAGCCTCAGTGCCTCCTTTAACTTCAAATAACTGAGGAAACAGGGAGTGGGGTGACTGGCTGGAATGACAGTCCTGGATGGTGTCCAGGAGGAGCAGAAGCACTCCCCAAACTGGCAAAGCAGCCTGATCATAGTAGCTCAGCAAGAGATCCTGGGAAATGACTGTGAACTGGTTCAAGGTAGCAAATGATGCTGACAAGCAAATCAAAGTAATAAAGGAAAGGGACTGCCATGAAGGAAAGTGAAGTTTAGGCTTTTCTTTCTTTTCTCAGTAATTAACTTGAAATGCTTTACCTCACTTAGTTTATGCTAAGTTTATACATAACTATGGGAAGCAAACCATTACTCCTTTTTTGTTTAATTTCACTTCCCCACCTCCTCCTAATCTTTAATTTTATTCAGATGGTTTCACAGAAGTGTCGCTAAAAGGAAGAGACTCTCTAAAGAAAGTATTCAAGAGTAGAGAATGTTGCTGGAACTGATTACTCGCATTAAATTTGGTACCAAACCTGAACAGCTACCTTATTCTGTATCACCAAGCTGCATAGATTTAAAATCAGACACTGAACAGGCAGGTTACCTAAGTTAATGGAAGCTCCTGTGCTGCAAATTAGGCCAGGTAACTGACATGGTTTCTGCAGCACCATCTTTAAAGGAATGGCAAGAGTGCCCTTGAGGAAGCACGTGGGGGAATTCAGACCCAGATTATGACTGAGCTGGAAAAGTACAATTTTGGTCATCTAATCTCATTAATTTTTCCTCCATGTCACAAAAATACTTTCTTCCGTTGCTAATGACAGTGTTTGGTTTAAAGAAGTGTGGTGTGGGGAACTTGGAATTTCTAAGTGAGTCGAGTCCAGATCACAACAGATCTTCAACAATTGCAGCACTAATATTGCTGGTGAGTACTGCGCCACCAGTATGCTGGTGAGAATATGAGTATTTTTCTTGTTCCCAAAAATGCACAGTCTGTGTGGAGTCACATAATACTTCATATTCCTGCCTCTGGAGCTAAATTGTGAATGTAGCAATCCAGAACACATTAAAACAAAGAGCATACTTGTTAATAGCTGCATTTTAAAATACACAGAAGATTCAGATTTTTCCTTTTTGAGAGAAAAACAAGTAAAACAAGCCCAGCTTATGACGAAGAAGAATCTATCTCTAGGGTTCATCCAAAAGTGCTGTGAACTGCTCATAAGCAGTAGCAAGTAGCACTTATGCATAATGCAAACATCACCTCTCAGCAACCATTATCACAGCAGGCACTCTGAGATGTATGTCAGCACACAAGCTTTTAAACAGAGGAACAGTTGATAGCAATGGCATTTAGGCAAGGATCCCCCAAAATAAGTCAGAGCAGATCTGTTCAAGTCATCCACATACCATACACTACAATGATTTTTAAAGGTATTCAGTAGGCTTTTACCCAATTTTATTTGCTTTCTAGTGAAAGTTACAAAAGAGAAACCAAATAAGGCATGTGAAGAAAATTCAAAACTCTTGGAAAGCTAACACTGTGAAATATTGTATTGATAGGCCAGCTACTTTAGCAAAATCCAGAAATCTGTGTCTTACTTTAAGCCTGTTTTAGGATACAATGGAATCGCTACTGGGATCATTCCTTGTAATACATAACTGTTGAGGGAAAAGCGCATACAGATAAGTTTGCTTTCACACACTTTTTCTTACAAATGTGTTTTGACTAACTTTAAGAAAGCAGCATGATGATAAATTACAGTCAGTGTGTTAAAAGGTTAAAATACAACATGCTGCATTTTAGGGAAAAAACAGAGAACTACCAGCAAAGAGAACAGTAATGAACGGACAAAATTAAATGACAGGTATGTCTTACAGAATCGTTACCTAGACTTGAAGCATGTGAGCCCATCTCTACTCATGGATTGAATTCAGAATAATCTGCCTATAGTAGAAGTTAATAACCAGCTTAAGCACTGAAAAAACAAGTTTGAGGGTTTTTTTGAACAAGAAATGTTATGATACTCTTTTGGAGCAATATCGTAAGTATAATGACTTTCAGGAAAGGATAAATTAGTCATATTCCTGTGAAGTTACTGAACTCATATCATAGTCATATGACAAATGAACTAAAAGGTGAGTATTTCTTCACAACTTTCTTTTCGACTAGATTAAAAAAAGTACGTCTGATACTTCAAGGACTTGCAGAGACTGTGCATGTGGTCAGATTAAATTTGCAGGTTCAGGCAGGTTCAAATATAGCAAGACTTAGAACAGAATGGAAAATTTTAGAATATAAGAATTAACTCTGCAGCCCCTTGCCATCTGTAGTTAATTAAAAATCCACTGTCATCCACAGGAGGAATAACACACCGCAGGATATTTCTGTGGAGTCTCTGTGCACCCTTGGTTTCTTGGTATCACTGATGTGGCTAAAAATGATACAATTGCCTCTCTTTTACATGGAGACTCATTTTCATCTACTTCTCCACTGTAAATAAAATTTACACAATAAAATTCTCCTCTCCAATCATTACTAACTGCTGTTTCAACAAGCTGCTCAAAAAAACTTTCAGCAAATCCCAGGATCTTCAGTTATTCAAAAGTTAAATAGACAAGGCAACTGCTCCTCCCCTTCTGGACATATGTGAACTTGGAGAAAAGACAGTAATCGTATTATTGCTAAATTGCTTAGTAACTGTAGGTAAAAAAGCTAATGTGTCATAATTTATATGGGAAAAGATAGCAGGGCGTTAGTAGCCACATCTAGTGCTATTGAGGCTTCCCACTGAGAACTGCACTGCAAACTGGCAGCTGACTCAAAACACTGCTATTTTCAACAGTTCAAAAAATGTAAATGTGTCAGCAACTGGTCAAATAGGCTTGATTTTGATCACTGAAAACGAGTGATTTATTGCAGCCTTTCACATTAGCATACTACTGACTTGTATAAATCACTCCCAGTCTGAAAACATCCCCTGTGCACAGGTTTGTAATGAATTCACGTGCTGAGTAAGTCTTGCTAGCTTCAGAGTGATGTTGGAAGGTAATTTTGCGCAGTTTCAATTAGATAAAGATAATTTCTATGAGCCAGATTTGCTAACATGCGCAAAGCTGAAGTAAATGTGGTTTTCCAGGGAGCTTTGGAAGGACAGAAGTGGGGGAGAAAAAATCACCTCGTTCAACAAAAGAGGAGAAGCCAGTGAAACAGATCTGCAACTACTATTTGTGTTCATTAACAAAGGAAAATTCATTGCTGCTGGGCAACTCATAAGGTTTGGCTAGCTGAGGTGAAGGTTTCCCTGAGCAGGGCTTTCTGCAACTGAGGTACCAAAGACATAAAGACCTGTGTGGGCTTTCATAGCTTCATCATCTACATGTGGCAGAGTTAGGATGGCTACACTTAGAAACTGAAGAATATGATTATAATCCTAAACCAGTCAATTGTCCCCATACCTGAAACACAAAGAAGATAAACATTTGGGAAAATGTATGTGAAACTTTACCTGCAACCACTGTGACTGGTCATTGTGGCCAGAGGTCCAGGCATTAACTTTGCCCTGCTTGTCCAGCCGGGCTTTCCTGGGCTCCCAAGCAAACATGTCCATGTTGAGTGTACGGAAAACACTGGAGGCAGTAATTTGGTAGTCCTGTATATGTCCTGATTTCATCCCCAGGGGTTCAGAGCAACCTGGAACAGCAAAGTAAGATCTGTGACACTACCTACTTATCTCTGCAAGTGGTTTAGATTTTCCTCTATGGAAAAGAAAACTAGCAATTCTTGAAGAAAAGGCTTTAATCAGGACTATTGTTGGAGGAAGCTGCAAACAAACAAATGAAAAACAGCCAATTCAAGACACTTTATCTCAACACTACCTTGGAAGAATGAAAAACAAGACAGAGAAATCAACCTATTTTATCCTGGCATAAATTTATGAAGGCAAACAAACAGAAAAGATGACCTTCATCTCTTATCTTGGTTCTATTTTCCTGTCCAGCTGCTTGCTATTGTTTCCCCCATTCAGTTAGATTTTCTCATGCTTTTATGCCATGTCACATCAACCACATGTTTGCCTACTGAGGAAACAATTTTTCTTCAAGCCACTGATGAAGTAAAATGTTAACAAGTACTGAGCTGTTCTACACTTTTGAATTACTTGACATCTAGCCAAAAACTTAGAAAGCCCCAACACCCACTGACGGAGTGGAAGACTACAGAAAAACAACAGTGATGGAGGGTAGGTAGGAGGTAATTGCTTAGGAGAAATCAAGAGTTAATGGCTTATTTGCTTAAACCAGGTGGTTGTCCCACATCACCTGGTTGTAACAAGGGAGAACTTGACCTTCTCATTTCTCTGTTGGGTGTCCATGGGAAAAAAAAATAATTAACAAGTGACTTTATCTTCTGCCTTACTCTTGTACACTGGGAACACAGAAGGTACATTTGGACCCAGAAGAGAGAAGAAGCAAGCTGACAACAGGAGAGACACCCTTCGATAGCAGCACTGTAACAACAATACTGGAAGCATAGGGAGGCAGATGAGCTGCATGGTTTTTGGATTTTAAACAAATAAGAAAAAGAAAGGCAAGTCTGGTAGCTGATAGCAAGATGTCAGGAAAGGTGGATGTATGGCTGGGTGGAGTAATGTTTGATGGTTGAGGAAAAGGTGAAAGACGGAGATGGTAACATAAAAAGAAGCCTTTTGCTCATTTCCTTCCTGGTCCAACTGTCGAAAACCTGCACATGGGCAGTTGTCCCTAAGTTTTCATTTCCAAAATTCAAGGATAGTTCAGTAGCTGACTTGACTCAGTTGAATTGCCAATAATACTTTAACATACTCTGACTCATTGAATGAGAGTGTGCCCAGGATCTAACGTACCTGGTTTTGCAAGGAGTGCACCACTGTGAATGCACAGAACCTGGACTTTATGTATCATTGGGAAGACAGAGGTTTTCCACCTGACACTCACATCCCACACCGCTGAGCTGGTTCTTATCAGGTAATCATTTTCTGAGGCACCAGCTGTGTTTCTTAAAGCACGCATGTAACTTGTGGAGGCTTTTGTGCTGTGACCATGACCCTACTCAGCTGGTGTCTCTTGACAGAGCCAGAGCACCGTGTAACCACTTAAAACACCTTCAAAGTTTTTATTTTGTTTTTCACTTTATTTGAGCTAGATATCAACGCTGGTTCACTTTTTCTTAAAAGTCCATTTCCTCCACAGTATGCCTACCCAGATTTAAAGACCTGATTCTTTTTCAGTTTCTTTGATATTATTAGCAAGAACCTTTCGGTCAGATTCTACTTTCTGTTTCTCTCGTAGGTTTAACACACAGAATTAAGTGGAATTATTAGGGAATCAGATCAGGAAGGTAAGATCAGACCCATTGTGAGGGGGTCTACCAGCAGGAGCAAATGCATATTACCACAGACAGATAATAGTAATATGCTTTTTAATGTAGTAACTACTGTATTGAAAATTTGGAATACTGACATGTCTCATATTCAATTGAAAAATAAACAGAAAACAGAGTTAATTTTTGAAAAAAAGCCAACTTTTCAGAAGTGATTCTTAGTGCACAAATGGAAATGGCACAGCCTTGTCTGTAGAATGAACTACCTAGTTCAAAACAACAACAAAACAATTTTCCTGTGAGTAGAAGGGAGCAATTGATGGTACGAATGACAGAGACTCATCTGTTGCTTTAGAGAAGGACTTTCCTTATTATTAAATTCTGAAGTATTACTCCAGGATCACATGGGCTGTCAGCAGGTATGTTGCATCCAAGGAATCTGAAGGAGACCCCTGACACAAAAGCATGGGTTGTCAAAACTGTTTTTCAGTGCTGCTCCAATCCATCAAAAATAGTTCTGTCTTTTCTGAGTATTATTACTGATTTATGAAACAACGGATGTGTCCGCTTGTGTGTCTGTGCATGCGTGCATGCATTAATGGGATTTTACACTCGCCTTCCTTCTCCACTGCCCCAAAGGGAGGAGGAAGACAGTTGTTAAAGGTAACAGGAGAAAGTGAGAAAAACAATGAGAACCAGAAGAGACAAACACGATGCACATGGGTGGCAGAACAATGTCTCAGTGCTGTGTCACAGAGAGCAACAGCAGACCCAGTCGCTTCCCAGCTCCTGTGGCACCCTGCTGCAATGACAAAAGATAACGACTGTTTATTTTGATAGGCAAGCTATAACCTAGAGCGCAAAGGACAGAATCATCAAACTAGTACAATTTTTTTGTCTGTAGATCGTCATCCCTCATAGAAGTGTATTTATCATAATGCTCATGACTTCTCGGGATATCTCTTCACTGCACTGTATCTTTACACTTGCTTTGCAAAATCCCTGCAAAAAGATTCTATCTCCTTTCCCATTTTTGCAACCTCTTAAAGTTAGTAAGAGCTGATGTAGGCATACTTACGGCTATGCTCAGTGGAGCATCTTAGGTCAAAATGTTTGAGATGCTTTGGATATCACCATTTGTGATAATATCTGGTAACTCTGTATGTTTAAACTTATCTAGGTATAAGTTTGCAGTTACTTCTTCTTTGGTCTAGCTCAGTGAAACATGAGCAGTGAAATAATGAAGATGAAAGCAGATTAGCATCTGAAAATTGAAAGAATCCACACGAAGGTTTTTCTCTGTTGACTCTTCTGAGAGCACAATATTTTACTCTTCAGTCTGCAACCTGTACCATGCTCCTCTTCTACCTCTTCTTTCAAGAAAGCTCAAACCCTCAAAGGAAATATTAAATATCCAATGCAGTGGAGGCAAAACCACAAATGGATCTGCATGCAAAGGTCTACATGCGTCTTGTCTTGGGCCAGGATTCATGCAGTATTGGCAAAAGCAGCATAGGCCAATTATGTGAGGGCAAAGGTGATTTTGTTTTGATTAATACTGTGATATTTTTCTTTTCTGAAAATCAAGAGATCTAAAAATTTTCTTCCTACTAACAAACATAGCATTCCTTTCCATATTAGATAGTGCTGAAGATGAGCAAGGGGAGGGGAATCCAATATTAAATGTAGATGTTACAAAGTCCTCTTGTGTCTGAGTTTGTGTGAATGGTTCCTGTAGGTACTGTTAGGATAAATAAATAGTAAGCAGAGAACAACATGCCAAAAGAAGAAAATTACATGCTCAGAAGATGCTATGAGTCTCATAAGGATGGTTAACTTCTGGAGACCAGCATCCCTCTGCAAGAACTGACGAACTCAGAACACTAAGCATTTGCTGAATTGGTACAGCCACTGACATACACGAGCATCAACAATGTATGACATGGACCGCACGCAAGCAGGCAAAGGCTGCTATATGGAGACATTTGAGTGTGTGAGTGAATTGCATGAGTAAGTGACTGTGTTGGGCGAACAGTTACCCATTTTAAAAAATAACAGCTTGATGCTATTATTAATAACAACTTCATGAATAAAGGCATTTTAATAAACAGTAGCCGTGATCTGTTTCTCCCCCCACATCAATACTCTGTGAAGGGATAGAAATTTACAACATAGAGATGAGCGAAACACAAGGAAGGAAGGAATACAAGGCCATGAAAATTAATGCCTAATTTATTGACGGACAACTCCATAAGCATTGATCATGGTTTTCAATAAGATCTGATCATGGGTTCTGGCAAGTAAAGCTATTTGTGAGCCTAAATCAGATTATATTGAACATTTTGCTAAAATTTGTCCTACGAATTCTTTTTTGTGATGATCTGGTGCTGCGAGACAGTCTCCCTGCCTTCAGTAGTGAATCTCTTCTCTAGCACCAGGACTTGTTAGAGAAGCCAGATCTTTCAAAGTGTTTTTCTGACTAAGACAGACCACCTGGAATTAGAGTGAATTAGTCTGTTGTTATGTATAATTATACTCTTCTTTCAGTAAGATTGAAATTGTTCTGCTGAGCCTTGGCTGCCTGCTGTTCTAAGAAATTATGACCTTGAAACTGTTAGGAGACCACTGAAATGAATTCACTTCAGTAGCTTTCACAGTTCTTTGAGCAAAACAACTCCTGGTCACTCTCGCAAGGACTTACTTTAAATTGTGGTTCCAGAAATGGAAGACATAAAAAAAAAAAATAAATCTAATAGACTAAAGCAGCTAGAGAGAATTTTCTATTTACTCTCAAACCTATCTATATTGGAAAAGGGCTATAGTGAGATTAATGCATTAACTTTTCATTTCTGAATCTGGTTTTCATGCCACTAGAGGACTGAGAATTATTTAACTCCAGCTGTTTTGATATATCATTTGTGGACTGGATGACTATTGTTTGTACAGTAAGCAGGCAGCCACATAAAAATCATTCTTAAATGAATTCAGTGGAGTGCTCCCACCGGTAAAAGGTTGATCTCTTGAAAAAGAGAAAAAATTTACATGCTTTACTGAATTTGTAAGGGAACATCGTTCTTGTAGAGAGTGGCTAGAGGTCAGGCTTTACATTTATGAGCTATAACTTCTGCTACTACAAATCTTAAGAGGGTTTATATTGGCTCCACTTGTTCATTTACTTTTTGCTATGAGATGCAATCCGTTTCTGCTATAAATCCTCGAAACGAATATAAACTGAAATCTTGACTAAAGCAGCCCAGCAAAAGATATCTTACTGCACTTTGAGTGGTCCTCGACGGCAGCTGAAGCACCCTTGTCCCTCTGAAGATGTCACACAGCACATCGGCGTGGTCACCCAGCAGCCAGGAGAAATCACTCAAATCAGATTTGATGCCTCCTTCTGCCATGACTCTGCTGTACAGCACTGCACAAACAGCTTCGGCTCTCAGAAACCACGTTCAGCACTTAGTTTAGGCTAACCTGAGCTTAACTGTGCGTCAGAGACTCTCATGGTCTGCTTAGTATGCAACATCATGGGTCCTGATAGCTGTTGATACTTATTAAAACTCCTATAAATGACCTTTTCTAGGTCACACGTAATTGGAGGCTCATGTGCACAGAAAAATTTACAGAACGTTATTGCTACCACATTACCTTACTACTATTATTGCCTTAGTGCAAGCAACTATTGTCACTTCTATGATTTGGATAAGTGTTGCTGCTTATAAAATTTACATAAAAAGAGATAAGTAACTGTCTGGATAAACTCAGGCCTGTTAACTGCATTTCACCAGGAATAAAATGCACGCAGTTTAGACCTCAGGTACAAAAACATGCTGCTTGATGGTTGACTTCTGCGAGGCAACAATTGCAGAAAACCCACCTGACAGTTCACAGCCAAGAAGTTCCATTCTCAATGTGCAGTGTCTTCTGCACACCTGAGGATACAGCCGTATATACTGGGACTTAATTGGAGGGGTGAAAGAGTTAGCGTACGGGGTGTTGTTGTCCACGTTTCCACGAAACACCTGTGAGAAAATGACACATTCATAAAAATGTGCCAGGAGGATTACTGGAGGTTCAGTTTGTTTCCATATCTCAAAAACATCTGCATTGTTCTTCTAACCATCCCTGCACATTTCTCTGCAAGCTTTTCTGAAACAGAGGCTGTTTTATAATTTCTAGTGCCCAACATACAAGTTTTTAAATAAAACATACTGCCATCGGTTTGCATTGGCATGCATTTGCCACCTGCATTGAATCAAGAGCTCTATCATGTCACTCCTAGAAACTGAAGCTACTAATGCAACTAAATTATGTCTTCCTTTCTAATTAGTGTATTAAATAGTCCCAATTCAATTTAGCCTGCAATTATTTACACTGATTGACATTTATTTTTTTCCCTCTACTTCAAGAACCTGATCCAACTCCCACTGAAGTGCACTGTAACCCTCCCATTGATCACAGGGGGAGCTGAATTAAACCTATAAGCATTCTTCTATTCACGTCTCACTCTAACCAGATATACTTGTACTTTGTTTTCTTCCCTCATTAGATAGCTCTTCACACAGTGTTTTAACTTCCTAATAGAGAAACTATGTCTAATGCCACAAAGTGCCTTAGTTCCGTCTTAAGTTACACAGTAAAGGGATTTTTGCTGCTTTGTATGCACAACTCTATAAAAAATAAGTGGTAACTATAACTGTAAACACGTACTTCCCACTGGATGATACTGTTTGTGCAGTACAGAGATTAGCATTGATGAATGGGTTATATGGTTTTAAGGGTTAACACTAATCTGCCAATATAATAAAACTAAATTGAAAACAGAGTAATGAGTAATTACTGGTAAACTAATTAAAATGAAAATCAGTTAAGTGTAAGAAACAGGATTATTCTAGCCTTGGGACATAGTATTTATACAACCATCAATTAAAGTATAAGAAATTCTTAGCAGACAGAAAGTGCGAATTTATTGATGAGATATTTTTCAAAGAAAAATAATAACAAGGCAACCTGTATCATACTGTCAGGCAACTATGCTTATCTACTAGAGATACCTCATACTTCTGAAGGCAGGGAAACCATAAGACGTTTTCATATACAAATGACTTAATCTTACCATATCTTCATTTGTGCCTTTTACTTTGTACATTATCCACGACTTCCCATCATTACTGTATGCAATTTTGTAAGATTTTACATATTCTGGACTTCCAATCCTCTTGGCACCTTGAGTTATAACTCCAGTGACTCGCATTTTCTTCTGCAGGTTTATCTGAAATAATAGTACAATGTTATCACTAACCATCTGATGGACACAATTCTGATTCTAGATTCCTTTGATTCCTTTTTTTTTTTTAATGACAGAATGGAAAACATGTAGCTGTAGCATTTAAATTACTATCTTTACACTTGCATTAATTCTTTTTATCTTTCATTCATTTCATGTACATATGCATATAAATGAATTAAAAAAAATGAATGAAAAGCCTGTACTATGCTTATGTCTTCATAAGTATGTGTACACACACACATATATACATTATTGATATATAGGATATTACTGGTGTATTGCTGGGATATAGCACATTACTGGTATATAGGATTACGGCTATATATTTCCTAAAAAGGAAATGCAACAGTGCGATAATTTACCAAAGGCTGAATCTTCTGTTCTATTAGAAGCCAATTTGCAATCCCATACAAAAGAGTCCAAATTACCTTCAGGTTAAATTTCTTTGTGAAAGTAAAAATACATGGATGTTCTGTAAAGCAAACAAATATACCTTTTCTTGATTCTCACTGAAAATTCATATATCTACATATCATGGTTGAAATCCTAATCCCAAAATAGTCAATAGCAAAATATCAATGGCTATCAATGGATATGAATATTCCTTGTGTACTTGTCTGAGTTGACCTCAGCACCTCGACGTACAAAATGAAGACGTACCGAGCGTTCAACAATATTCAGACAACCTTAATTTTGCCTTCTTTATCGATCTATGATATGGGAAAGCCAACTATATTCTCATAAAATTCAAAATGTGGTATTCAAGTCAAACAATGCCGGCATTGTCAGCCTTGTCCCTGCAATGAAGTAACTGCACTCCCATCCTTTTGCTGCTAGGCAGCTGAAGTCTGTAACTTTTGCACCAAATGAAGCTTAACAAAGAGCTGTCATACTGTGAGAATTGCGTGAAGGTGCAGGCAGATGTGTGATAAAAGGAGACAAACGGAAAAACTAGAGAGTAAACAACTGAGACAATGTTAATAATACATTAATCTACATTAGCATTGGCGTCCTCCGAATGAATTTTATCTCTGCTCCCCAGTTAGTGGAGCTGACCCAGTGCAACCCCTACTATTTGGAATGGCAGCCCCAGCACAGGAACATGGAAGATCAGAGGCAGATCAGGTATCTGCTGTCCAAATACTTTAATCCCTTTATCCTTTACAGTGTGGTCTCAAGATTTTCTCTCACTTGGCAGTGTAATCTAGCCTCTATTAAGGATGTAAGATAATCAAACTGCAGTGTTTCAATATCTTATTGTGTACACAATGGGAAAGTGAAGAAAGATAGAATTTTACTGCTTCTTTTTCAAGGGAGTCAAAACAGCTATTTCTCTGCTATTTATCTGAAATAGCTGGGCTCCTGATATTTTTCTTCTTGAGGTAAAACAAATTTCAGCATAGTTTTACCATAGTTCTCCCTATTAGAAATTAATAAACATTCATACACCTTTAGAATAACAAGGTATTTTAGAGGTTCAGACCCACCGAGAGAGAAGCAGCAGCCTATAAAAGATGAGATTTTTTACAGAATCTTTCTCACATACATCAGGAAAACTCATTTGCAATTGCAAAGAGGAGAATGGACTCACACCAGGAATTTAGACAGGCATATATTAGAAGAGATTCAGGCCTTTTTACAGTCTTGGGAAACCTTCTTTTCCCCCATTCCAGGTATCCCAGAGAAAAAAAGTAAATACACATTACACTTGTAAGAGGACAGCTCCAGAGACTATCACCCTCCTAATTACATTTAAAAATGTAGTTAACATAGCACAGTAACCAGTCAGACGTAAAGATTTCTGGAAGTCTCTTATGCAGATTTCACTCTCTAAGAGATTTTAAGAGCATTAATAAACAGGCAAGTACAACAATTTTTCATATATTTACAAAATTGTTAATAATTAAGTGAACACCATGTCCAAAAGCAAATTAGAAAGTACGGTCAAAACAAAACCCAGTATATTTTGCATATACTGAGTAATACTATCTTCACATTTCACTGTTTGGGAAAAGGAAAATATAATGCAACACCAAATACATTTTCTTTGATCCAGTTATGCATATACCTAATATTCTTTCAGCTTCATTCTCTGTTTTTCTTTTTTCAGATAATAATCTTGGGGAGTTTTTTTTGGACGAGAATTTATGTGGAAATTTTCCCCCCCTGTTTACTCAGAAAGAGTAGTTTCTAATGAAACTATGGCTTTAACTACTGGATGTTATATTCCGACACAGGCTCCTTTCCATGCCCCAGCGTCCATCTCTAATGCACAACAAATCAATCACTGCATTTCAAGAAGCAAAGCAATGACAAAAACCCCACCCAAAAGTAATCTATGAAAGAGTTTAACAATATAGTTGAAACTCGAATAAAAGAATAGTCCTACTGAATGAAGGGAGGATTTAGTCAGATAATCATAAGAATGAAACAAAAATAATTTAATTTGTAGATACTCATTTAATAGATATACTATTTAGCCTGTGTTCTTTCAGTTTCAGGAGGTAAAAAGCCTGCCTATGTACTGGCCTGCTCTACAGGCTTATCTGGATATCTGTACATATAAGCGATACAATTTTATTTACTTCTCTGTTTTGACAGACAGAATCTTTCCATTTAGACACTTTCTTGATCAGTATCCACACTCTAAGTCACAAACTGAGCTTTGGCTTTAAGCAGTATTGAGCTTGATATAACACAAGAAATAGAAACAGGATACTGTGTTTTGCAATTAGGTCTACATATTCTGTCAACATTTGCAGGGAAATCCCAACGAAGGGGGGAAAAAAACCCTCTTTAAAATCCCTGCAGCTTGCTTACATACAAAATCCCCATGGGGCTAACATCATGCCTGTGATATGAGTGCATATGGATACACCAGGAACTAATTGGCCCTTTGTTTCTGGGTTCTTTTCTGTGTTTTAAATTTTTCAAGTCTGAGTTTAGCAAAACTCAAAATATTACAACTGTGCAATGACTACAATGAAGCAGGTGCTGAAATGTTTCTTACTTAAAACTACTTCAGTACGAAGCAAAGTTCCCAATGTGAAATGTGAACTAGCTCTTTTAGCACTAAAAGCATTTTCAAAGATATCTTTCTGCCACAGTTTTGAGGAAAAATGGCTTAGAAAGCTCTGCTTTGTGCATTCCCATATAAGACAGAATGTTATATATTCTATTTACATGGGTGACTGTTTTAAAACAAACAAAAAGATGAAAGTCACCAGGGTAAATACAAGAGTTTAACACACCTTTTCAGAAAAGGTAATAGTTTATTCAGTTATAAAGTACTCCTTATCATTATCTAGACGAACTGGAAAAAATCAAGGCTCATAGAAGATCAATAGTATTTTTGAGGGATTTACCCTATTAATTTAAGCATTAGCGCATGGTAAAGACCTTCTAAGAAGAAGATATTTGCATAGAAATTTGAGGAAACTACTTATACAAAAAAAAAAAGAGAGACCGATCAGTTCTACTTAAGTTTAAGGTTATTCTGAAAGTAATGGATTCAGACTTGACTGAATGCATTCAGCCCCAGCTCAGAGGGGGCTCCTGGGTTCACCAACTTCCATGGGACCTAATTCACCCAACATACGTCAGGGATTTGGCTGTGATACTCACAAACATATTTGAGGATGCCCATTGCCCTACATCCTCATGGCATGAAGCATTTTATGAAACTTGGGTAAGGTGCCATTTAACACCTAGAGGTAATGGAATCGGCCTCAAATACGTTTTGCATTTCAATGAGGAATTTTTCTTGGCCTAGAAAAAATGGACACTGAATCACTCAGGTAAAACTGCGTGTAAAAGAAAGCCAGTAGTCTGACATCAATTCATTGAAATATGATGATACAAAAAATAGATTATGTCTACACAATATATGGTGGATGATGCAAAGTCACTGTGCTGATATTGCAAAAAGCTCAGCTAAAGGACAGGCATGGCAGTCAAGACAAGTTAATAGACAATGTCAAGGGACAAGACACAAGACCTCAGAGTCAGTGCTGTACACATTGTCGAAGGCTGAATTCATGTACTGCCAGCCACGTGGTGCCTTCTCTACTATGTCCTATAGCCAAACCTAAGTAAAAAGAAAATCACTTGAGGCATACACCCTCTAGCACGGTGTATATCCAGGAGCTGGGGAATAAAATCAGTTCTATCAGTTTAAGAAGTTCCCAGCAGTCCTTGAAATTTCTTCTAACCTTGCTCCTTTCAACCACCACAATCATCTTTATGCCACGATCAGACCACTTTTATCATCACAGTACGTTATGGAGTCATGGCCTCTTTCAACAGGAGGGGAAAAAGTAACCAGCATGACATGTTTCCTGCTTTCAGCACTGATTCTGTAGGAATCATTATCTATTAAACAGTTTTCACTGGTGTACTACTGTTTTTGACTGCAATGAGTTACACAAATCTGTTTTAGGATGCTAAATTATTCAGTTGTCTACACTGATGAAGATGTGGCCAATCAAGATTTTACTGGAACCTGAAAAAATCCACATCAGAAAGGAAATAAAACAAATGAAAAAGAGAACTTTCCCAAGAGAAGGCGGCAATATTACAAGTTCCTGTAGGTTGCACAGTGCACCATTTTGAAAGGCAACTCAGAACTAGTCCTGCAAATCTGTATGGTACACGTGCAGCTTCACTTTTAGGTGTGACTAAATGTAGGACCATAAACAGTCCAAAGGGCTCTGCAAAACAAAGACCAGAAATAACTTCCCAGTATACTTAACAAACATTGGAATTGTAGAAAAAAGACTAAATTCACACTCATAATATGTCAATGTAACAAAACAGCAGAGATTAGGGACAGCACTGGTGAAAGAAGTTCATATTCCTCTTCAGTTTTTGATCAATTATTACCATATTCAGTGTGCAGAAGATATGCACTTGACAAAAAAGACAAAAAAAAAAAATCAGTTGCATCTGTCTCATCTACATTATTACATGCAGGACAGGAGAAG